TCTTAAAGTAAAAGTTGTGTATGGGCTACCACTACATCTAAACACCAACCATTTGTTTTCCATTTAAAATGCACTTGAAGTGTTTGCATAACATCTCTTCTTTAAAATATAAATAGCATACGAACAATCAATCTAACTAGACATTACATTAGAATACCACTTTTAAAATGTGAATTTAAAAGTGGTATTCTAATGTAATGTCTAGTTAGATTGATTGTTCGTATGCTATTTATATTTTAAAGAAGAGATGTTATGCAAACACTTCAAGTGCATTTTAAATGGAAAACAAATGGTTGGTGTTTAGATGTAGTGTTAGCCCATACACAACTTTTATTTTAAGACACTGAAGAGGGGTTGGATGAGTATACTAACCCGAAATGCATATGTCATTTTTTAAAGAATAAAAGTGAGTTCCTAACTAAAAGTGCTGTGAGTCCATCTACCAAAAAACCTTTTAGATTACAGAGATGAATTATATACATAGTAACACACAGCAGTCCAGATACAGAATTATATAAAAAGTTTTATATTTATCAACAAATAATGATTTTGCATATTTTTAATCTTTATTCCATTTAGTTCAAAAAGAAACTTATACAGTGCATGTAACAGGGTTCAAATAAATTAACTAACAAAGATCATACAGTAGAGCGTCGTTTATCCGAATCAATTGGGGACTGGGGTTGTTCAGATAACTTACTTTTTGGATAACTGATTATGTACGAAAAAATACATTGACTATCCCATCCTGAAATTTTTCTCCGTTGCGTGTTGCTCTGCGTTGAATTTTCGTCAATGTTAAGCCTAACGTAAACTTTTTAAAATAATAATCATGGCTATTGTATCGTTAAAAATTATTTCTTTACTTTGTACAAACAAAATAAATATATTGAAAAATATAAAAACAATAAAAAATTATACTTCAGAAGTTAATTTAGTATCAAAAACGTAAAATATTTGAGTAGCCCAAGGCATAGCCAAAGATTGCAATGCCACAGCACTAGCGAAAATTTAAATTTGCCAACTGTAATTCTTTCGGATAAACGACGCTCTACTGTATTTCAATTCTCGCACACAATCATTGTCATTGCATACTTCTTAAAACATTTTCTTGATTTTTAGCAATTCTGTTTATATTTTGTTCCTTATGCTTTAAAATTGATTTCATTTAAAAAATAATAATCTTTATTACATGAAAATTTAAACTAGAATCTGTAAGACTTCAAATAAATGTTAATTTTAAAACACTATGAATTTCTCAGATCAGTGACATTTTTTCTTATCATGCAAAATGGAACAAGTAAGGGATATTCCTTTAAATATTAACATAAAAAAAGAACTGGTACAGATATTTATTATAATCGAATAAAGTCTTAATCTCTCACTTACCTGGTCTGTCCAACTCTGTGACATCTGTCTTCTGCCTGTTTATCATTGTATGGATTGAAATCTATGTCGTGAATTACGACGACATTTGCAGCGGTCAGATTGATGCCAAGTCCTCCAGCTCGAGTAGACAATAGAAACACCAGTATTTCTGGAGTTTCATTAAATTCATCTATGAGTGGTTGCCTAGAAAAAATAATTGTTAGTACATATATCAATTTTAATAATAAATTTTAAGAAAAATTTGAATTAATACTTTTAACAATCTCTGCAATGTAAGAATGATGTATGATGCATCACATCTTGTGATTAAAAAGAAAAAAAAAAGGTCTCTTAGTCTAAGAGAATATAATTCTTGGCTAAATAGCAAAAATAGTAATTATTAATCGACATGGATCAATGGATCAAAGCAAAATTTCATCTCAATTTATGTAATATATACAGTAAATTATCACTTACACACACATAAAGAACTGATTGCAATAAATATAAATAAAAATTATTTCTTTGTATATAGTTAGACTAGCAGACCCCGCCACGCGTTGTTGTGGCTCAAAATGTATCTATTATAAATGTATAATTTCCCCCATGGGGGAAATTTTTCGAAAAATTTCTTCTTAGTGTACATTCTCTTGATGTACCCTATTAAAACGCAATCAAAAATGCAAAAACCCGCATCTAAAATAGTATAAATAGAAGCAGAGTTCTTTACGGTAAGCCTTAATCCTAACCACCTCCCTTCAGTGGGGGGAATTTCGACATGTATATTATATAAAAACACGTGCATATTCAAATGCAGCATTATGTCAAAATGTCAAAGGAATCGGTAGGAACAAATGAACATTACATTTTTATTTATATAGATAGATAGAAGATGATCTGCTTTAGTTCATTTTCACAGAAAAGTGTAATGCCTCACAGAAAAGCAAACTTAGGGCATCGTACTTGTAGCGCCATCTGTTGGATTTAAAAGCCTTAACCTAGATTATATCTTTTAATTTATATGAATGTTTAACGGAATAATATATAGCCTATGTCCACCCTGAAGTTCTATTCTAAATATTGGTGAAAGAATTTTTGAAATTGGATGAGTAGTTTCGGAGATTACCCGTTACATCCAAACTTACTTACTTACAAACATTATCTCTTTATAATATTAGTATAGATTATAACAAAGATTATATCAGTCAAATAAGTCTCAGATATTTAATACATAATGAGCTCATTTTAACTCTCTATACAAGTTTTGTTCTTCACAATTTAATCACCACAAATAATAAAGCCACATCAATTCATTTTCAGATAGAAAACCAAAAACTTAGAATATCCTAATAAATTATGCTGTTATTTTTATCTCCCAGATATCTAAGATAGTGTTGAGAATAACATGCAGTTTTGCCCCTTCAAAAAAAGTTGAAGCAATACTAGCAAATCAATATTGTCAGTCCTTTCAGTTGCCAGATTCTATATCATTTCAAAACAAAAACATTCAGAATAATTTTTTAAATTCTCAACCTCAGAAGAGTTAAGTTAAAAATCTTATAAACGAAAATATAAAAACTGTCTGTTGATTTTTATCCGATTAAAAAATCTTTAACTTAAAAATTAAAAAATAATATATATTCATTCTAATATCACAAATAGTAAATAATGCACTTTATTTATCTATATATATAACGGGTGTCTGTCCGTGTAACCGTTCAACGGGTGTCTGTCCGCGTAACCGTTTGATAACGGACACTAGAGGCACCCCTATCGTGTGTCATATTTCAAACATTCAAATTAACAATTTTAATTATTATTTAAATTAACAATATAAATTATTATTATTCATTGGCCTATAAATTATTATTTGGTCAATATAACAATATAAATAATTCAGTATATTTGTAATAGGAATTTATTATTTTAGGGGCTTATATCTCACAAAGGGTCGCGAGTAGGGGTATGGTTCCTTTGACTTTATCGTTCGCACAGGGGCTACAGCTCACCTCTTCATTCGGAGGGTACAGCTCACCTCTTCATTCGGAGGGTAAATCTTACAATTGGGACTTTAACAGAGCTGTACGGCATATTGATAGGAACAAACAAGTCAAAGGAACCGTGCCTCATGGAAATTTGTAAATAACGCCCACTAGGGGGCGTCGCAGGCTACTAGTAAAAATATAAGAGAGAGAAACTATAAATAATAATTGTTTATTTTTATGATACAAATTCTATTTCTATATAATAATAAATATTGTTTATTTTTTGATAATGTTATGCTTATTAGGATATAAACAATGGGAATAAAAAGCTATTTTTCTCATTATTATTCATTATTATTAGACGTTTGAGCAACATGATTCACTCCTGTCTTAGATGAAGTACAATTAAAATATACAACATTAAACCAAGAGCTAAACATACATTTAAAATGATGATTCAAAACATAATCCAACAAAATATAAAAATACTTTTCATATAAACAATGCTTATAAATAGAACATTCTCAATTGCAAATGCTATCAAATTACTTAATTAGTTAATAAGATTACATTATAGATTCCCTTATTGCTGAATTTACAATTATTTGGTGTAATTAAATGAGTGAATTAGAAATAACAGATTCTTAGCAATTTTAAATATTCACAAAAAGCATTTATTGGTGAAGTGATAGTTGAGATGTTGTGTTGGTAGTCTTTTACAATAAAAAATTCAGCAATAACAAAGAATAATTTGAACAATACAAATAATATGCATAATTGTTCATACTTAAAATTTAATTAAACTTTTTATCAAGTTAAATGTATAAATTTGGCATCTGAGTTACAGCACTTACCTATCTGCAACAGGTATTGAGCCATCCATTCGTAGAAACCTGTAATTTCTGATATTCATGTATTCTTCTAAGATGTCTAACATTATTGTGAACTGGCTAAATAATAAAATTCTATCACCCTGGAATATTTAATTTTGTTATATTAATTTTTACTTTGAAAAAATTTATTAAATCTGATTATTAATGTATTCAACTTACATTTTGTTTTAGCTCAGGTATAAAGCTATCTAACATTTGAAATTTACCAGAACTCACTATTGTTTCAGGACTTAATTTAAATGATGAAACAGTCTGAAATAATTCAATAAATCATTAATTATCAACTAAAAAATCATTTTTATAAGTATTTTTTTAATTGTATAATTTTGTCATCTTGCAGCATATAATGCATACAAAACAGATTATTACATATAATTTTTCATAAATAAAAATCTAAACAGGTATCTTTAAATGTCAATTATTATTAAAAAGATAAAATAGTATAAAATGTAAAAGTCTGAATAAATGTGAGCTAATACCTGACACCTTGTCACACTGATATTTCAAAGAGTCAGAAATATCAATGTAATCTCTGTTACACATTGTACCTTTTATTGATGAGTAATTGGCAAGATTTCCAATCCAAAATGCATTTAAATAAAATATCTGAGAATTAATTGTCTTCTGAGTAATTCTTGAACTCAGGTGAACATCTAATTCGAAGGACATAATATTTCGATTTATTTGTCCAAAAAATCCCTTTTAAATTGTTATAAAAGTGAAGAAAATAGAAATAAACTATCCTTATTAGCAATAAAATAACTGTAATAAAGTGTTCACTGCATTCACTTTAAAGAATAGACTTTTATACATTTCCAAAAATCCATTTTAAAGAGCATGGAAGAAGTTCTCAGCAAGTAATATTAAAAAAAGAAAAAAAAAACTTGTCTTTATTCCATTCTGATGGCATAAAACTCTATACATATGACAAACATTTTAATATTATAGTTGTTTATTGTAATTTATAATTTATAGACCAATCAATCAAGAAAAACATACTAAGTTGCATGTTTTTACTTGTAACATTGTTCAAAATAAGTGCAAAAACATAATGAAACCATTTAATATTGTCTCTATCAAACACCTGGAGAACACTACATACATAAACAAGTTACATGATTTTACAAATAGTTAAATGTTTATATACTGTACATTTAAAGAAATCAAGTTATATTACTATTTTTAAACATGTTCATTTGGAGGTGAAAAATAATTTGCAAAGTGATAAGTTTAAATAATTTTAAACAAGTTAAAAGCTTCTGTATTTATTTAAACTTGTTCTGCTAAATTTGTTTGACAATGATTGTTTATTATGGTGTTATAATTTCATATTTAATGAGTCTGAAGATGATCATTTAAAAGGATTACACAGAAAACAAATGTTGGAAAATTAAAGGTGGATTTTTTATGGTAAATATACCAGTTAATTTATTAATTATTAATAATATTAATTTGTGCCATCCCAAAATTCAAAGTCTATCTGGTATCAAAGATTTCAGATACAAGACTAGAGATTGTAAAATGCTATTGATACCAACTACAAAATCAATTTACTTATTTGTAAAAACATTGGAACAAGAAATCCTTGACTCCATCTTGTAAAATTCTAAATATCAATATTACAGATAAAAAATTATTTTAAATTAATCTGGATGACAAATAAACCAAACAAAATTTATTTGTTACTGTTCTTGCATCTTCATATCTAATAGAATTACTTCCAATTTTTCAATTAATCAAATTTTTTCTTGAGTTAATAGAATATTTGGACTTGGGACTCTATCTAATATGCATATATCTAATTCAGTTATGTAAAATGAAAATCTAATTGACAATTTAGAAACTTCATGCATTTTTAGCAAAATTTGTTAAGTAATGAATTTTATTTACATATATCGAATGCATTTAAGTAAAATATAAACTAATTTTTATTCGAAAATTATTTTATATTTCAATTCAATAGATTCTGTTTTATTGTTATGTATAACAATCAGACTGAATCTGCAAATTGAAAAAGGGGTCTTTAATTCAAATTTACATTATTATAAACTAAAATAAAATGAATTCAAAAAATGTTTGGCATTGTATTATTATCTAATATAGATAACAAAATCATCTGTGATACAAATAATAAATTAACAAAGACTGATTCAAATATAAGAAAAGATAATTGCTTCAGTGTTGATAATTTAATTTTGTTTGATTTTATTTTATTCCTCTTTATTAAAAAAATATACTCTGCTGGCCAAGCAATACAACACAATGGACTATAGATATTGAAACAATGGAAGCTTCTTTCACAGTGTTGCATTTTGCTTGTCCAACAGTGTATATTTTTTTAAAAATCATATGTTTAATTATAAGCTTGAGAAATAATGTTTATATTTTATGAACTTAAATTTGTTTTATTAAAAAAATAATCCAGTAGGATATAATCTGTGCTATATACATCCTTTTATTAGGATGTGCAATATAGGATATGCTATTAGATTGATAAAACCTTAATGCAAACTGTAATTAATAATGTATCATTATATCATTAATAATTTTTAAACTAAAATCAAACTAATAATATTTACTTTATATTGATGGCAGAGCTTGTGTAATTGAAAATCAGACATAGGAAGCATATCTTCTAAAATTAGTTCAGGATTTGCATCACAATGAGTTGGTTCCTACAAAAAAATATATTATTATTATAAAATTTAAAAATGTAACCTTTCAGCAGTGGGATGGATAGTCAGGTATGGTGCTATCCCAAAGTAGTGGAGAATATACCTGGGAAATTTTTAAAGTATTTTTTCATGCATTTTTTTCTCATTACTGTTTTGGAAAAATATTTTGTAAACAGTTATGTCTAGTAAAGAAAAGTCTTTTTTTATTGTTACACAATTCATTTTTTATGTGAATTTTTTTCGCAGTAGTTTTTGGCAATACCCCCAAAGAATTTGATATATATACATCCCTCACTGCTGAGTGGTTAATATTAATTTTAATTGTCTAATATTACTACCTTTAGCATTAATTTGGCCATTTGCTGAAGTTTATCTTCCGTGTACAACCTCCTAATTAATAAAGGATGATTAGCTAATTTCCTTAATTCCATCATCATTCCTATACCATTTGTGTGTACTTTCTCTTCTGTACTTTTCTTAACCTGATAACAAAGCAGAGCAAGTGATATATATCATTTTTTCTTTTGTATATGATCAAATCTTTAAAATACTTACTTTACTGGATAATTCTGCAACTAAGTTGGTATATTCTTTGTATTGTGCCTCTGCCATTGGACATAATTTAACCTCATCATGTTTTGCAGGAAGTTGTTTTAGTACCTATTTAGAAATTAAATATTTAAAATAATTTTATAACTAANGATAATGCAATCAAATGGTAATTACATTTATTTTAATTATAAAGAATTAAATTTTATTCTACAATAAAATTTTATGTTTAGGTATGAAAAGTGTCTTTCTCTAGTACCATCCGAACCCCAACTGTTATCAAGAATTGGTTTCTTGTATGATGCTGAAGGTGACAGACAACAGGCTCTGCATCATTATGAACAAGTATAAATTTACTTATAGTTTATTAACAAACAAAAAAAAATGTGAGCTGTTTCTTATCAATCATTTGTAATCTAATAAAAAATAGGCCTATCGTTATTTTCCATCCAACGTAGACATTCTAGGATGGCTGGGAGTGTACTATGTTGATATTCAGATTTATGAGAAAGCTATAGAATATTTCAGAGAAGCTTCAAGAATTGAGTGAGTTGAAAATATCTCTATCAAAAAAACTATTCTTTAAATCATTCCTCGTTATTGTCATTCCAGATCGAATAATTCCAAATGGCTTTTACTAATGGCAAGTTGTCATAGGAGAAATGGAAATTATAATGAAGCTCTAGAAATTTATAGGAATGCTCATGAAAAATTCCCTCAAAATATAGAATGTATGTTAAAATTAATGTTTCAGTATCCTCCCATTATATTTGCAAGAATTAAATATGTTTAAAAATTAGAATGCATTTTTCAAAATACATTCAAATTTTATCTTACCAAAACTGTACTTCATAGAAGAGAATAGTAGACTTTTAATAACAGAATATTGAACTTATTTGTTTTATTCTTGCAAATACATTAAGGATTTATGCATATGTGTAAATTTGATAAATTTATACTTACAGCTTTAAGATTTTTGGCTAGAATATCATCTGATTTAGGATTAGAAGAAGCTGATGAATATGTAACAAAGTTAAGAAAGATAGAAAACTGGAAATATGAAGTAAGCCTAAATGTTCATATTATTAAAAATTTGAACTAATTTTCTGCTTATTTATGCAATTGTTAATTTTATAGGATATGAAAATGTATGAGCAATTTCAACAGAAATTAACTTTTATCAATGGTATGTTTCTCTAAAATCAAATTGTACAGTTAATTTTAGACTAAATCTATCAATGAGTAACAGAACTTCTTACAGATGCCAAGCAGCTAACAAATGATAACGCTTCAGTCACAAGTAAAAAATGCAATGCAATTAGTTTTGATGATGACATAGAAGTGAATGATCTTTTACCAGATTAATGACAATCTAGATTAGTATCTATGAAAAAATGTGCTGAGACAAAATTTATTTATTTTTTTCTTAAAGTATAAAATAAAACCTTCATTGAATTATTTGAGATGAGTGCTACCTTAGATGATACTCAAACCAAACATGCCACCTTCACGATAATTACAATACTAGATAAATTATATTTTGTCACCACTTTGTGTACAAGATTAAATTTTGCATGCTTATGAGACAGACACAAGTTTTAAAATATCTCATCTGAAAGATCCTTCCTTTCATTGATTGAAACACTGAAATATTTCTTTTTTCCAGAGAAACTTTTGCTTGTACAACTTGTTGAAACTTCAAAACAGTTTATAATAACATGGTATAAGAATGGTCCCTCCCAGTTGTGATTATAATAGATGGCAAATGATCCCCATAATCTTTTTATAGTCCTAAGGCAGATCGTAATAATTTATCTACACTCACTGGGTCTTCACTTTCTACAAAAAACAAAAATAGCAATATTAATATTTGTTATTAATTTTTAAAATTTTATAGAAATTTATTTACCTTCATTATCAGCAGTAATATCTCTTTCTAGCTTCAGTTTATCTTGAGCACATCGAAGAATGTTTTCTTCGATTGTTTTTTCACTAATCATTCTAATGACCCGAACTTCTCTACAACAAATTAATAAGTAACAATGATTATAATGATAAATAGAAAAGTAATTTATGTTATTGTGCAATGTTAAACTGTGCCTTATTCTCAGTTTGCATTGAAATGTATATAGATAGTTCATGATGGGATAATCGCTAAAGTTGGGAAATAAAATGTATTTTTGAAATGTATATATTCAAAATATTCACAAAAAATGCCTTTTAAGTTTTTTCTAGAATTGTATCAAATTACTTTTATTTTGGTTTTCAAAATCTGTATATGAGGGATGGACCAAAAGTCCTCAGCCCAACCTGGCAGTGGCAGAAATAAATTAGGATTACTTTCCAACATAGTCCCCCAAAATGTCCATACTTTCCATCAGTGCTGCAATACATAGATTCTCAAGGAATGGAAGTGTTTGTTCTGAGTGTAAAAATATGGGTTGCAAGCATCACAGGCAGCCTCACTATCTTGAAAATGCACTCCAGAAAAATGGATTTTCAGGTTTGGGAAAAGTTGATATGGCTAGGATGTAGTACCCTCAGACTTACTTTTGATCTTTAGAAAACACTGCCTTTTTAAAAGTATTGGCATAAACTTACTAGTTGAGAAACATATACTGTACAGTACATGATATGGAAACTGAGACCAACAATATGTATTATACATCTGGGATGAGACCAGCATCTAAAAGTTCTCAGAAAGTAGATTCTGTCTCCTAAAGTATGTTGAATTCCAGACTCATATTCTCATCACATGATAACATAGTGAAACAGGAACTAGATAAAACTACAATTTTTGTCAAAACTGTGTTAATTTGGATTCAGATTCTAAAGAATTCAAGAAAGATCAAATGGCTGACTATAAATAATATTGGGACATTTTTGCCTGATGATAGAGATTTTGGGGTTATTGAGAAAAAGTCAAAAACTGCTCAAATTTTCACAGTGGATGAATGGAGTAATGTGTTTTTACAGGCGAGAAAGAAACAATCCTTTGCAGTTTGTAAAATGGCAGTATAGACTTATTTTTCTACATATTAAACTTTTTTTTAATATTTTCTACATGAAAAATTATGTACTCAGTGATATTTATAGCAAAGTAATTTGCAAATTAATATTTTTACTCTAACATTTAATTTTTCATTGTGACAGACTGCAAAATGCTTAGTTTTTCGAGTATAAAAAGTTTTGTGTACATGTATATAATTCGTCTCTGTAATCCAAAAGGTTTTTTGGTAGACAGACTCACAGCACTTTTAGTTAGGAACTCACTTTTATTCTTTAAAAAATGACATATGCATTTCGGGTTAGTATACTCATCCAACCCCTCTTCAGTGTCTTAAAATAAAAGTTGTGTATGGGCTAACACTACATCTAAACACCAACCATTTGTTTTCCATTTAAAATGCACTTGAAGTGTTTGCATAACATCTCTTCTTTAAAATATAAATAGCATACGAACAATCAATCTAACTAGACATTACATTAGAATACCACTTTTAAAATGTGAATTTAAAAGTGGTATTCTAATGTAATGTCTAGTTAGATTGATTGTTCGTATGCTATTTATATTTTAAAGAAGAGATGTTATGCAAACACTTCAAGTGCATTTTAAATGGAAAACAAATGGTTGGTGTTTAGATGTAGTGTTAGCCCATACACAACTTTTATTTTAAGACACTGAAGAGGGGTTGGATGAGTATACTAACCCGAAATGCATATGTCATTTTTTAAAGAATAAAAGTGAGTTCCTAACTAAAAGTGCTGTGAGTCCATCTACCAAAAAACCTTTTAGATTACAGAGATGAATTATATACATAGTAACACACAGCAGTCCAGATACAGAATTATATAAAAAGTTTTATATTTATCAACAAATAATGATTTTGCATATTTTTAATCTTTATTCCATTTAGTTCAAAAAGAAACTTATACAGTGCATGTAACAGGGTTCAAATAAATTAACTAACAAAGATCATACAGTAGAGCGTCGTTTATCCGAATCAATTGGGGACTGGGGTTGTTCAGATAACTTACTTTTTGGATAACTGATTATGTACGAAAAAATACATTGACTATCCCATCCTGAAATTTTTCTCCGTTGCGTGTTGCTCTGCGTTGAATTTTCGTCAATGTTAAGCCTAACGTAAACTTTTTAAAATAATAATCATGGCTATTGTATCGTTAAAAATTATTTCTTTACTTTGTACAAACAAAATAAATATATTGAAAAATATAAAAACAATAAAAAATTATACTTCAGAAGTTAATTTAGTATCAAAAACGTAAAATATTTGAGTAGCCCAAGA